CACAAAACTGTTTGCAAGGGAAAATATCTCAAGGCAGGACACCTGTCTTAAAGGGAATACCTAGGAGAATCCATCTTTGCGTAAAGTAGGACACAGACACCTATGTGATTGTGACCCAAATTTAATAAGCAAATCAATCTTGATATCACTGGACCCAACTGATAAAACCACGTAACAACAAGAACGATTAAATGTACCAGGTGTCCAGAACTTACCCTAAGAGAATTTGAGCCAATCCCCCGACCTACCTTTTTGTCATAAAGACCCCTGATATTAAAGCACTCACTGTACCTCTTATCAGATGTGCTCTCACCCATATCTGGCCTTTGTACTTTATTTTCTTTACTTTACTTTATCAATAAACTTTCTTGGTCTGTAATTTGTGTATCCTTAAATTCTTATTTGTGACAATGTCACAAAGTCAATACCCAAGGGCCAGATAGAATCTCCTTTTGGAGACTTCCCCCTAGAGCCTCACCAGTTCCAGTAACTGGTGGTGCCATGGTTGGTAAAAAGAATTTACCAAGACAAACAAGTAGAACAAGCCAAAGGTTTATTAGGGCTCTGCGAAGAGAAGCAGTAGGCATGCAGGCATAAGGGAGCGCTGCTGCTGTGCTGATATGAAGGTTGGGGCAGGTTTATTAATGCAAAGCAAACCAAAAGCAAAGGAACAATGCACCCTCCAGTGGGATGGTAGGCAGGCTCCAGAAGGAGTGCTGCAGTGGAGGTCCCAAGGCTTTGCTTTTATTGGGGTCTGCAGAGATGTAGTTAGTCCTGGAAAACTGGGTTATATGTCATTAACTCTCAGAGACTGGGCTATGTTTCATCTGCTCCTCCCATGGTGGGGAGAGGGGTAGCCTTGGATGGTCAGACTGGGGCTGCTGTTTTCTGAGGGCTTCAGGAACTGCAGATCAACAAGCCCCTGCTGTATGTCACCAGCCATTCTGTTAATCTAGGAAGCGATTCCTTATTAACATTCAAGCTTGGTTCTCAGCCATCAGGTTTCCTAACTCCTTCCCTAGTCCCTACATTAAACACGAGGAACTGAAGATTAGGACTTCAACCTAGGAGTTTGGTGGGAGAGGGGCATATAATTCAGTTCATAACAGGCTGAATTTATAAAACCAGATCAAAGGCATCTTCTATTTTTCTTGTAACTTGCTTCATATTCTTTTAAGAAACATTTATAATTACTGTTCTGAGCAATAGGATTCAAAGTTAAGTAAAGTGCCCTCAGGACCACACAGCCTATTCAGGCCTTACTTATCCCTTGTTTCTCAGAAGCAAGAGTAGGGCTAAGCACAGATTATAGCTCAGTAAGTATTTGATGACTGGCAACAAGAAAGGAAGAAGGAAAGGAGAAGAGAGGATTTTGCTTAGAGTAGAGCTTCACTAGAGACAAAAAATGTCATTGCTGGTCATTTCCTTAATGAGTTCAAGGCTTTGCATAGATCCAACATTCAAGATTCTAGCAAATACAAACATATTAATTTAAATATTTAGCCTGGATGCCTGGTGTAAATTCACCAGAGGCAACATCCAACTTTGTCTTGGTTTCTTAGTCAGTCTAGGTATAGGGCCCTAGACTCATACACAATATCAACATTAGATGTGATCTTGGAGATCAGCTCTGCCCTTCTGTTTTACAGGTAAACAATTCCATCCTAGGATCACAGTCTGTAGTCACATAGACAGTTCCACACCAAGTCAAGTCCACAGTGGCCTGTCTCCTCTTCCACTGCTCTTCCCATAACTTGCCACTTCCTCTATTTTGTACATATGCGAAGAGTTAATTCCTCCTTGCCTCTGAAGGTGGGAGAGAACCACTAAAGCCTCACCCTCCAGCTGCTGACCCATTGAAATGTCTCTGTAGCACAGCAGGATGAGGGTGGGATGAGCAGTACATTAACCTTCCAAGGAATGAGCCCACATCTCTGTGAAGTAAACTCAGCTCTGAGGCTACTCATTTGAGAATTCAACCACAGGGGCAGAAAAAATAACTGAGCACCTCCACTCAGGTGCTTCAGAGACACCACTGTCCCCTAAGTCTCCCACTGTGGAAGGGTGCTAATGCTTCTTAGCAAGCATGCTAGTTACTTATCTGAGACATTGAAGGCAGAGAAAAACAATAAGCCCAACAACTAGCATTTAATGAATGCTTCCCAGGTGGAGGACATGGTACTGTCAAAATACAAAATGCATTATCTCATCTAATCCTCACCACAAGCCAGTGACATAAGCACTGGTGTTATCCCTAATTTCCAGATGGGGAAACCAGCGAAATTAAGCAAGATCCCAAAACAAAAGGGTTAGTGCTGTGTCCAAATCCAGTCAGGTGACCTAAGGTACGTCACTCAGCCTCTCACAACCTCAGTGTGTCATATCAGTTGGAGATAATGACATCTGCTTTGAAGATGTGTCATGCAAATTAGACATAATTACATGTAAACTGTTTGTAAACTGTCTCTATTGCACAAAATTCTTTCTTTCTTTCTTTCTTTCTTTTTTTCTGAGACAGAGTCTCACTTTGTTGGCCTTGAACTAAAGACTGGCCTCAAACTCACTATGTGGCCCAGGGTGGCTTCAAACTTGGGATCCTCCCCCCTTGGCCTCCCAAGTGCTGGGTGTGTGTGATCCACCACAACTAGGCCTACTTTGCATAAGTTCTTCACACAGGGAAGCTATTTTAGGATCCTCTTCCTGTTGTTCCACTTGCTATATAAAAACTCATGGCAGAAGGATGCCTCCTAATCCCTCAATGAGAGGAAGTGTAAAAGGAGGGCACAGGAAGGCATGGGGTTATGAATGCAGTAAGGACCACCCAAGGAGACTTGACTTAGCACTTGGCCCAAGTCTTTCCAGCCAGTGAAGGACAGGCTATCTCCCATTCCACAAAAGCAGACAAGATTATTTATAAACTGGGCAATGGGGGCTGGGGATGTAGCTCAGTGGAACATGCTCACCTGGCATGCACAAGGCCCTGGGTTCAAGCCCCAGCACCTCAAAAAAAAAAAAAAATCCTAGATGACAAAAAGCTTCACTTGACCCATCAAAGCCCTCAGCAAAACTGACCTCTCATCTGTAGTCCTACAATACATGAACCAGTTGTAGGGTATCAAGGCCAGCATTTTATACACATCACCACATCTCATGCTCACAGCAATCCCAGGAGAGGAAGATTATTTCTCATATTTCATAGAGGAGGGTACAAACCTAAATCCACTTGAATTATGAGCCCATGATCTTGAAAAGTATTATATGTATTAGAAAAAAGACTGGTTGCAAGAAAAAATGTCAATTTAATACACTGTTAGCAAAGGGGAAGTTTATTGTGAAAATAGTATGTGACAGATTCTTGAATAAGGAACCATACCAAGAAATGGAAAGCTGTTTATCTGTATGTTTATGTATGTATGCATGCATGTATCTATCTATCTACCTATCTATCTATCATGTATCTATCTATCTCTATCTTTTGCCTTAGTACTCTCTTCCTCTCTGTAGAGCAACTCTACATTTCCCACTCATGGAGAATTAGCCTCTTCATTTTTCTGAAGTTATCTGCTACTGGTCCAATCTCTAATGAAAATATTTTTTCTAGATCCTGGGTGCAGAATCTTCTTAGTCCAGCTTGAGTCAGGTGTCTTCCAATGTTTGGGCTGGTTGAGGATCAGGAAAAACAAGGCAGGCAGGAAACACCCTGTGAATTGCAAGGCATCTAGAAAGGGGACTGATGCTCAGGAAGAGATAAGTACACTGCTTTTCTATGAGATACCAAAGCATTTTTTATTTCAGAAAGTTCAAATCAAACATGGCCTGCATTAACAGAAGCATGGACTGAAGAATGTTTGATAAAAATGTTTAGTAAAGATTCATTTAAGTAGATAAATTAATAAATTTAGAATGTGGAGAAACTAAAAATATACCAGACTAATCTCCTATTTAGGCTTTTCATGTCCGAATTCTATAGCAATGCTAATACAAATAAAATACAAACTACATAGGTACTTTAAGCAGTGAAGTAGGCACATATTTTAAAAAGGAAAAGGAAAGAGGTAAACTTAATTTTGGTGATAAATTGTATTTAGCCCTAAAACATTTAAAATGTTATCTTTTTGACAAAGCAATATTAATTTTACCTTTTTATACGAAGTCTTCAAACTCTAATGTGTATTGTACATCTCAATTTTGATGATATATTTTTCTTGGAAATATCTGATCTGTATTTAAATATTCTGTATATGATCTATATTTCAATTTACAACTGAAAAAGGAAGCCTATAAGAAATAGTAATATAGGAAGTAGAATATGATCTAAGTACATAAAATACATGTATGGAATTAACACAATAAAATCCTCACTCTGTACAATTAATATATACTAATAAAAACTATATTTTAGAAAAGGCATAGTATTATATAATTTATATAAATTTAATAAACATTCTACATAGCTCCCAGATACCTATGTGTGCATATGTACACATACAATTACTATAACTATTCAAAAGAGTGGTGGGATTCCAGAAAATCAGTTTAATTATTAATATTTTGTAAGTTTTATTTAAATAAGATTATGCAAACATGATAAAATGTCAATAAAAATAAGAAGTAGACTTATAATCACATCCCATTGTTTTGCATTATCTCTCATTAGTTATGAGGAATAGAACTAATTTGTGCTGGGGTTTCCAGTTATTTCTCACTGAACTGGTTCATTGCTCAGATTGGTGCCACTTTGTGGATGTGATCATGGGTAAAAATGGCCATGCTGAGACCATGGACTCCTGCTCCTAAGGAAAAAAAAGATGCAAACTGGGAGAAACTCACACATATTTGTGCTTAATCTATGCTACAAAGAATAATTTTTTCATAAATTGAACTGATTATGTTTTTTTTAGGCCTTTGTTTTACTTTTTATTTTCCTGAAAAAAAAAAAACAACAAGTTTCCTTAGAACTCTTTCTTTGATTCTGACATTGTGTAATTGTGTGTGTGTGTATGGGTGAAGGTGGTCGTCAGGAAATGCTAATAGTACAAGTCACTGGTGACAAAAGATAAGCAGCTGACAGGCTGACATTTGTCCCCTCCTGGTCATTCTTGTGGGCAGCAGGTTTTAGCCTGGAGACAACAGCTCATATAGAGGGAACTCAGGCAAGACTTTCAAATTGAATGACAGACCATGAGATTCTGGAAGAAGCCTGGGTGAGGGTATCTGAATGAAATCACATAAAGACAACACATGCCTAACAAACTACTTCTGGCCCCAGGAAAAGTCCTTTGCCAGAGTTCCTGGGCTCCTCCTCACACTCTCCACTCCTTAGATCCTCGGCCTCTCTTATTCTTTTTGTTAGTGTTTTGGTTTCGGGAAGGAAGAGACAGCTCCAGCTCCTTTTTCTTTTGGTCCCAGTCTGGGTCCAGTTCATCCAGCAGCAGCCCCTTCTGCTGGGCGACACGTCGGTAGTTCTGACACTCAGGCTCTGCCCTAGGAAAAGAAAGAGGACTTCTGCATTCAGAATAGATGAGCCTGTCCCAGATTGGGGACCAACCTCTCCTTCCACACTCTGCACACAGCATGGGCAATTCACTGTTCAGTTGAAGAGGACACCAAGTGTGCACATGTCCAAGGGTACACACAGGGAGGTCTGGAGACTGAAGAACTCTTTGGAGGTGGAGAAAAATGATGTCCTGAGTGAGATGTTAGTACACAGACTCAAAGACAGCTTGAAGAAAGGGCATTCTTAAATTGCTCATGTTTCTAAAGCAAACTGAATATGATTAGAAAGCTGTTTTTTGTTTCTAATTGTATTCTCCTTATTATAAAAGCAATGCATATTCATTGTTTAAAATTCTAAAGTGCAGAAACATAAGAAAATGAAAATCACTGATAATCACATGCATTGTATGTGTAGACGAATTACATAAAAATAGTTATGAAGGACAGGTGGATGGACAATTAGATGTGTGAGCTATCATATCCACATATACAGGTGCATATATGTGAAGTTTTGTGACTGGACTCTGATCACACGATAAAGCGAGAGCACACAAGGGAGGTATCAGGATAGGTAAGACACCCAAAAAACTAGATAGCATTTGTTGCCCTCAACACAGAGAAACTAAAGCAGATATTTTAAAGCGACAGAGGCCAATTGGAGAAGGGAACCAGGAACTAGAGAAAAGGTTAGTTTGAGAAGAATTAATTTAGAAGGTAACACACATGTACAGGAAAGCAGTGCAAGTCAACTGCTTTCAACTAGCAAAAACCCTTGTTCCTTCCTATTATTGCTTATACTCTCTCTTCAACAAAACTAGAGATAAGGGCAAAATAGTTTCTGCCTGGTATTGAGGGGATGAGGGGGGAGAGGGAGAGGGCAGGTAGGAAGGTAGGGGAAGAGGGGAGAGGGGAGAAATGACCCAAACATTGTATGCACATATGAATAAAAGAAAAAGGAAATATATATATACAATTTATATAAGATACCAGTGGAATACAATTATGTCTGTAGAGATCTAAGAAAAAAATCAGTCACAAACTGGTTGATGATAACTAAATCTAGAGGCCAAGGTTTCCGGTCATTTTGATTCTTCCTTTCTATTTAAATTTAATTTTTTGTCAATAAACAGTTAAGTATTGGCCTGGTATATTCTGTAACAAGAAAACCTATTTTCATTAAAAAAAATTTTTTTAATTTGAAAAAAAAAAAATGAAGTTTTGTGTATGAGGCCAAAGGTGAATACATGACTTGCTTAGAGACCTTGGTGACAGAGATAGCATTCAAGCGAATATGAAGATAAATGGAATTGGAGAGGATAAAGAAGGGACAGGCAAGACAAGCCAGTATAAAAAATGCTCAGTTCATTCAGAGGATAGCAAATGTGTTTGTCCCTTACTCCCTCTCCCTACCCCTAGCCACTTGAATATGACTTTTCCATCTTCAGACCACATGACATTCTTCTGTCTTGTCACTTTTTATCTTGTATCAGTGTTATTTATAAAACAAAAAAACAAACAAGTTATTTCCAGACAGCAAACTTCTTGATATTCATCCCTGTATCAGATTTATCTTTATGTCTTTTTAAGGGTACAGCTCAATGGCTTGCACATAGTAGGGCTGAATGAGTGGCTTGCCTCTTAGAAAGGCTCAATTGAAAGTTGATGTTTTATGGACTGGGGGATGGGTCAAGTGGTGGAGTACTTACCTAGCAAATGTGAGGTTCTAAAATCAAACCCCAGTACCACACACACACACACACACACAAACTGAAGTTCTCCTCAATAAGTGCCAGGATATTCAGAAAATTGTTAAATACTCTCTAGACGTCTTTTAAAATTCTCTTATGTCCTTTTCCTGCATCTGTACCCTTGGCCCAGAAGCTCACTTCCTCACAATGTGACCTGCTAAGAAATCCAGTGATCTCTTTGTCTAGAGTCTAATGCCTCCAATCCTGCCTCACAGTGCCACTTCCACCTCCTCCTCTGAGTAAGCAATTTTGCTAACATCTATTTCGGCATGTCAATCCCACAATGAATTCGCCCTCAGCTACATGACCAGCTAATGATGGTCACTCACCCATCCAAACCTATTCCACATATCTCCCTGGTATGAAGGCTCTGCTTAGCCAAACCATTCACCTCTACACACACACACACACACACACACACACACATTAAAAAAAAAAAAAAAAAACCTATGTATATTTCCAGCTTGGTGGCTTCACTCAAAATCAACAGATTTTTCTCTCTCATCCCTCTAACATCAGAAGGGAAGTTCCTGGTAGGAAATGATGAGAAGTAAGAATGACTAGCATGTGATGTGGTTGACTTTTGTTGTTTTTGTCTGCTCAATACTGCCTACCCATTTTTCTTTGCAATAGCAATCCCAAATATTTGGAGGGGAGACGCTCTTCTTCCACATTGGTTATGCAGAGGCCACATATCATGTTCATCTGCCTGTGGTCATTAGGAAAGGCCTGAAATTACTCAGAGAAAGTCAGTAAAGGAGAGCCAAGGACAGGACCCCAAGGAATTCCAGCATCTAAAAAGGCATGTAAGAATCAGTCATGAGCTTTATCTTTAGAAAAAGCATATAAAAAGCATGAAAAATTATCAGAGGCAGAAAGAAAAGTAGAAGTGAGTAGCACCAGATAAGGCCAGGGAGATAGTTCCAGGAATATCAAATATGGAATTAAATGGAGTTCAGGTGTGAATCGGGAAGAAGCCATTGTCTTGGGTCTCATCATGATAACTCGGGTGAGATATGATTCAGTGCAAAGATGGGAAAAGAAGAATTAAGAGTGAATATGAGATGAGGAAGTAGAAACAACTACATAGATCCACTTTCAAGTGGCTTAGACATTTAGGGAAGAAGAGAAACTCAGAAGTTAGCGGGGCCCTTAATGTTTTATTTATTTAATAAGAGCTATTTGAACTTGTTCACAGGACCAAAAAGATCAGAAACAACTAAAAAAACAGGAGAAAGAGTAAAGATGCAACAAAGAATACAGGAATGATGGCCTTGTAGAAGACAAAGAGTCTATTAACATTTCACAGAAGGAGGTAGGAAGGCAAGAAGGAACCGATGGAGGTACATGGAAGATCTGTAGGTACAGGGGTCACAAATATGTACTCCATAGTTTCAAGTAGAAGACATAGCCTCTGAGAGACAGACTGAGGTGTGTTGAGAATTGGAATTGTCAATGAGGGAATAGAACAGGAAGAGATACCCAAGATGCACTTGAGAACTCAACTAGAGGTAGAAATCTTAAACCTTCTGGAGATATTCATCTACTTATGTGTGGGGTTTTCTTTGGTCAACAAAACATAGGAGTGGACATTTCAGAGATTCATCCAAAGTTGTGAATTTCAGGTGAAATGCCTCAGAATGACAAAGGGTTGGACAGTGATAGGTTGAGGGAAGAAAGTAGAAGTAGTGTATCATGGTGTCCATATGGCAGAGAGAAGTTAGTGAACTTATTCCAGGCAGGTAATAGGCTAGGGAAAAAAATGTTGAATGACAAGAGGGCTTGACAATTCAATGACCTTTGTGAGGACCTAGAAACTGGTATGATGAAGGTAACTATGTTCACACAGTGGTATTTTAGAGTTATAGAAAGTTCAGAGAATAAGATATGATGATGCCGAGGTCCACAGTGCCTGGAGGTCACTGAGTATAGGGGATGGTAGCAGGAATTGTGAAGAGTCTGTGAGTTAACACTCAGGTTCTGCTTCTCTACTCTCCAAACCACTTCATTCATGATTTTTGATATTTTCAATAGGTGACACCACCTTTAAGAGAGGGTCTCTTGAATAATTTGTACACATAACTAATCTTATCATAGACAAGCATATTACTAGTTTAACTTTCTGAGAATAACTATATTTTCAAGCTTTTAGAAGGCAGTTTACTGTCACCCTCTTCCCTAGTGGAAACTACTCTACTGATGGAACTGCTATTTATTCCATCTTTATCTCCAAGCTGTAATGCCCAGACTGTTACTCAACATTTTTCTTGTATGAATTATTATCAACCCAATCAAATTATAAATTTTCTTTCCATACTTCTCAGAGATATAACAGTAATATACTTAACTGATAGTTAATTATGTTCAATTTCTTGGTTAAGTAAAAAAATATACAAATGTTAGACAAGTTATTATCTTTGGTGTATGTATAGGGAGGAGTTTCACAGATGAACATAGACATTTTAAAAAGTAAAAGGGTCTTAAGAATAGCAGTTTAATTCACCTGCCTCAGGAAGCTAAGGATCATGAAGGCAATTTAACTTGCACAAGGTCACACAGCTGCTTGAATACCTTTCAGAAAGCTGAAGGAGCCATGAATTTCGGACAATGTCCTATCTTCAAACTTAGTGTCCTAACTCTGTTATTGGAGATAATTTTTTATGATCTAAAAAAATAGATTAATCTAGGTTTTACCCCCAATGGTCATTTCAGTGAAAAATTAATAAAAATAACTCAATTTAAAATTAATAAAAACAGTCAGTTGGTTGACTCTCTTCATTTCATTTTCATTGACTTGAGATCATTGAGTTGGCAGAGACCTTGACTATAGATTCTTCCCTTTTTATAGCTGAAAAGAAATGAAACTTACTTCTCCAGGAAGGCCACACAGGCTCTCTGTCCGTAGATCTGTGCGATCCTCTTAGGTGTGTCTCCAAAGAAGTCAGGGGCATCAATAGCAACATGCAGTGCATGGAGGGTTTTGAGAACATTCAGATGGCCTGACTCAGCTGCAAAATGAGCTGGGGTCCAGCCCACATCAGTTACCAGGCAGGGTCTGGCTCCATATGCTATCAGAAGATGCATCACCTCCATTTGCCCTTAAATGAACCAAAAAGGAACAGATGAAGTTAACAGAAAAAATGCCCCTGGTGGACAGACTAGACAACACAAAAAAGGGAAGGAAATTTGCCTCTGAGGTACCTCCATTTTGCTATCATCACCCTCACCCTTCTCCTTATTATTGGGCAATCAGTGCACTCCAGAAACCTCATCTCCACCAGAGACCTGAGCCCTCCAGGGCACTCTTCTCCCTTGTCCATTGTCCCAGGTCTAGCCTAGAAAGCTGTTCAAGTCTTGCCCATGGAAGCATTGTAAGTCTCACTCTGCTTTTGCAGACTCACAGCCCATTTCAAAAACAACCACCTTAAAGCCCACTTACAGTATAGCTAACACAGCTTAAGAGCATAGGCTTTCTAACCAGACAGATGTGGGTTCATATCCTTACAATATCATTTACTGACAAGTGACACCTTGAACAAGAAACAAATGTCTGAGGCTCCTTTTCCTCATTTGTAAATTAGGATATTACCAGTTACTCATTGAATTCTTAAGGTGTGCAAGTGATGTCACACACATAAAGTACACAGCACGGCGGCCAGTCCATAGCAAATACTCTCTAACAGGAGTTGTCTTCTAACTGCCATGGCTTTGTCTTTAGATTTCTGCAAAAATAACTAAGTTTCCTATAGCCAGTCTCGTTTTCTGCCAACCCATTCTCCTCACAGGAGTGGAAACAAATATTTTAAAAGTAAAGTTGACAATAGTACTTTATCACTTAACATTTTTGATGGTGTTTTAGTGCCAAAGTCCTTGACAAGTATATTGGCTGTATTTGTTTTACTATCTTTCTCCAATTTTACAATTGGACTGTGTTGAGCATGAGGGATTCAGAAAGACAGACAAAGTCCCTATCCTTGTCCATGATCTCCATCCCTATTAGAGATCAAGAGGGCCAACGGCTACTAACAATTTAGAGCAGAATATATGCTAAACCTATACACCCATTATCTTACTGAATTCAGATGACTCCAGTGTAGCACTACTGCCCCATTGTATAGAAGAATAAACAGAAGCCCAGAGACATTAAATAACATGTGCAAGATTCTACAGCTAGCAAGGGTGATGTCAGGACTAAAATGTTCCACCTGGCCTCAAAGAAATGTTCTTTCCCCTCCACAACCTGTAGACTGATATTCTCATGAATGGTGGACTCACAGGGGTGGATCTGCCTAGGCATTGCCTACTCACCTTTGATTGCAGCCCAGTGAAGTGGGGTCCGGTCATTCCAGTCCATGTCCTTATAGTTTGGATCACAGAGACCTTTCTTCAAAATCCTTTTCACTAAATTACAGTCCCCTGCAGCCACAGCTTGATGGAGCTTTGTCATGTCTGACATTTTGGTCAATTCCATAACAGAAACTGTGGGAGAAACATGCCACTCAGGAAATTCCACTTAATCCTAGTGAGTGTTCCTTAGATTTCTGTGTCAGTGATTTTCTTTCCTGCCTCATGAATTTATATCTATGATTGTGTGTGTTCTGCTGAGTAGGTACTTGAATCTTAGTTACAACAGTTAGTGCATGCCAGTCCCTTTTGCAAAAACTACACTCAGAAATATGTCTAAACTCATAAAATGGCACTGTACCATCTAGCCTCAAACCACCTTCTAGTGCCTTTTTCTACTTCAAAAGTCTAGAAGTGTTACCTTAAGTTAGTTGTGTAATTCTGTCTTGTCTTTCTCATCTGTAGAATGGTTATAATCATCCAGGGCTATTGTGAGAATGACAACCCACATGGATGCAGAGCAAGTAATCCATGCAAATTAAATGCTATTTAAAATTAAATGCTGGATCACAAAGGAATGACTAGAAGTCACCTTGATCATTGACAGTGGAGGATCCCAAACCCAGACACAGCACATCTGAGGCCAGGAGGCACACACTGCAAAGTGTAAACACTTCCAACAGTAATGTGCAGACCAAAGATTGACAACATTTTTCTGTAAAGAGTCAGATAGCAAGTAATTTTTAGGCCAAGGGTCAAAGTCAAGGCTATCACATAGGATCCTAAAAGCAATTTTTATAACAAGAGGAAAAATTTCTGCCTGCCCTTCACCATTTGCCTGAAGTGGATGTTCCATCCCCTTTGTGCCAGCAGCCTTCAGCTGGAGACATTCTCAGGGCAAAGAGGACAGACCTGAGGAGGTAGGGGCTGATTAGTAGGTGGTCCAGTTCATTCTTAGCCCCAGTGCTATGTAGGTCCCAGAGAGCCCTCTCTCTTCCTGGAGAGGGTAGCAATCTCAAGTTGGCAGCTGGCTAGAGGTCAGGCAACTCAGACTCATGAACTTCCATACTGAGATCCAGCAACAGAGTCCCCAGTATTGGAACTACTTACATTTTGCAATGTGTGCCTCTAGCTGGTGCTGAGCTGTGCCTGGGTTTAGGATCCTTCACCATTGTCACCAGAAGGGTTCTAAGCAGTGACCAGACATAGCCAGGGAGGACAGGGATGAAAAGGGCAACAGAAGTAAAGAGAGGTGTATGAGCTTGCTTTTAGAGTCCCACAATAGAAAGCCATGGAGGACCAACACCATAGGTGGCAACCACAGACCTACGAAACCGATTTGTCCTTTAGATCACAATTTGCCAACCTCTAGTTTATACAAATCATTTGGCAGGCATGTTTAATTGCACTTCTTATTGAATAGGTCTGGAATGGGACCTGAGTTTCTGTGTTTGTAATAAGGTCCCACAGCAGGTCTAATTCATTCACCAGACTTCCAGTAGCTTTACTATCTGGGCAGAAAGCGGAAGATAGATGGCAGGCAGCAAAATTAGAACCTTGTAGGGGACATCAAGGAGGCAGCTGTTGTTCTCAACTGAGGGGCTCCAGAAAATCACAAGTGGGATTTTAAAAATAAAGATGCCTGGACCTCTGGGTGTGCAGGCCAAGGATTATGCAGGTTGCATGAAGTAGATGCTCTGCTTAAATAGAAAACCTTACACTGGAGGACTTGATCAATGATAAAATGGTTTTTAAAAAGGTACTGGTACCTCTAATCTGCAGGTGTCACTAAACCTGCAAAAATAAAAAAAAACATTTTTATAATGATTTATAATCAGTATCTAGAAGCCTTTTTTCTTGCTTTCTGTACAAGTATTTAAACAGATTTACACTTAAACCTTCCCCATCTGTTCTGCATTCAAGTTCATAGCAAAGAAATTGTACTTTCTATGGATGAATTGCAATTCAAGTAGAAGTTGTTGTCATTGGGCAGCAACATTTACTTCTAGAGAAACTGAAATGCTGATGTTAAAAATTCACATGGAAAGGCAAGGACCCAGAACAGTCAAAACAATCTTAAAAATAATAAAATCGGAGGACTCAGACTTCCTGATTTCAATAAGCATGCCAGGGTAATTCAGTGGGAAAGGAATTGTCCTCTATCTCACAAAGATCTTTTCCTGTGTATTCCTCTGAGCATTTTATAGATTTAAGTCTTACATTTAGGTGACCCATTTTGAATATATATATTCAAAGTGTGTGTGTATATATATATATATATATATATATATATACACTTGTCTAAAAGCAATTGAGCATAAGGGTAAGTATTTATTTCTAGGCTCTCAGTTCTATTCTCTTGCTCTATGTATCCTTGTTTTATTACCACCACAATTTTGGTTACTGCATATTTGTAGTAAGTTTTGAAATTGGAAAGTATAAATATTCTAATGGAGTATATACCCAAGAGGATGAAACATACAGTTATGTAAAAATTTGTAAATGAATATTCACAGCATTCATAGGCAAAGATGTGGAAACATCCCAAATCTTAGTTAACAGAATAATGGATGAATAAAATGAGGACTATCCATACAATGGAATATCATTTGTTGATGAAAAGGAATAAAATAGTGACACACGCTTAATGGATAAATCCTGAGACATGCTAAGTGAACAAAGCAAGTAACAGAAGAGTATATATTGTATTCTTGAGTTAGAACAGGGTTGGGAGATGGGTGGGAACCTGCTATGTAATTCTCCTTCCTCAGCCTCAGAAGTACACTTACCATTTCTACTGAATTTAGAAAACTTTACATGAATTCTTATGAGTTGATTAAGTGCCCTTGAATTTCTATCTTTCTTGTAGATGTGTCTCAATTTGCACAGTAGCCAGTAATGCAGGTTCTAATAGGTATGAGTGATCTATTACTACTATAGTAAATAAGAGAGGGGTACGAAGAATACTTACTGTCTTTTCCCAAGGAACTCTGTGCTTGCAGGCAGCCCTAACTGTCTGGAGTGTTGTTGTGCTTACACCATGGTAACTGATCCCTCCTTCCTCAGGAAAGCTGGGCAATCAGCTTAAGCTTCCCTGGGTATGTGGCAGTATAGGGTTGCCCCTCTGTTCCACTTGAAAACTCTTTAGCAACTCCATCTTCTACTTTAGTCCAAATGTGGTAGTCCTCAACAGGTTCTTTCAAATAGCATTTGAAAACAAAAAAAAAGTAAAAAAAAAAAAAAAAGTAGCTAAAGATTGTCAGCTCACAGATACTGTTTACTAACCACTGGGATAAAAGAAGTGTCTGAACCCCAAGGAACCCCAAGGAACCCCAAGGAACCCCAAGAAGTGTAAAGGACAGCTTGAGTCTCACATTCAGAACCAGCTATGAGATCTTGGGCAAGTTCCTTACTTTTGTACAGCTTCATTTATCTCTCCAATAAAGAAAATGCTAACAACTTTTTCATAAGGCTATCAAATACAATTTGAAATAATTTATAAAGCACTTGATACATGATAGATGCCTAAACAAACAAAAAAGAACAATAACATCTGTAGGTGTTTTCTTCTTTCCACCTTTCCCCTTCCTCCTTGCTGTAAGCAAGAATCTACCGCCTTCCTTCTCTTTCTTCCCTCCCTCCCTCCCTTCAGTCTCCCTTCCTTCTTTCTTTCCTTCCTTTCCCTCCCCTTCTCTCCCTCTTTCTTTCCTCCAATGTTTATCCCTAATTTTATTCATATAGATAGATAGATATTGGTATAAGTATAGCCATAGACATAAACATAGACATAGTTGTTTGTCAATTCATTCACTTTTTGGAAATGATCAAATCACAAGACTCTGACCTAGTTAGTGGATTAATTCATCCAAGGAGTCATAATTTGATGGCATTATTGAAGGTAATTCAAACTAAGAGGTGGGCCTAGTTGGAGGATGTAGATAATTGTGGGTGTGACCTTGAAGGATATATCTTGTTCCTGACCTCTTACTTATGTATTTCCTGGCCACCATGAAGTAAGTAGCTCTGCTCCACTATGCCCTCTCCGCCATGATGTTCTGCCAGAGGCCCACAGCAATGGAGCAGTCAACCATGGACTAAAACCAAAATAAACCTTTCCTCCTTTAAGTTGTTGTCCTCTGGTACTTTATCACAGTGATGGACTGCTAACACAAGCATACCTCTGGGTGTGTCTCTGAGGTGTTTCCAAAGAGGACTGAAAACGTGGGTCAGTCAGCAAACTGAATGGGAGAGATCTTCCCTGAACACAGCACCATCAAATGCGCATGGGTCCTCACATGGGAACATGTGTACCAGACCCTTCTTAAGCAAGTGAATAAATAAGTAAATATTTATTTATGTATTTATTTTTTGCTGCTGCTTCCATCAAAATCAAACTTCAGGTTCATCAGCCTTCAAATTCAGACTTGCACTATGGACTTGAATCAGTAATTCTCCAGAGGATTGTAAGCCTGCAGTCTCAGACTAGGGCTGCATCATTGATTCTGAGGCTTCCAGTTCCTTGGACTGAGCAGCTACTGATTTCCCTGGCTCTCCAGATTACAGATGGCCATCATGGGACTACTCAGAATCTGATAATATAACCATCTAATAAATTCTTTCTTATGTGTTTTGTTGGTTCTGATCCTCTGAAGAACCCTAATGAATAGAGGAGGTAACATTGAAGCTGAAACATGGCATATGAGAAGAATTCAGGCACCTAAGGAACTGAGAAAGGTGGTTCACACAGAGAGAGGAACATAGCTTGACTTATGCAAGGAATAAAGGAGAGGAAGTTGCAGATGGTTTATGGAGTATGAGGCAAGTAGAAGATGAGTTTAATTAAGGTAAGGGTTAGATCATTCAGGGTTTTCTGGGACATGGTAAGTGGTTTGAATTTTATTTGAAGTACAAAGAATAGTCACCAAAAGGTTTTAAACAAGGAAGAAGATGGTGCAATTTAAATTTTCTTGAAAGGTTTACTTTGACTGCTATGTGGTGAATGGACTGAGGGGAAATGAGACAGAAAGCAGGAAGACCACTGTAGATGCCATTAGAGAAGTCCAGACAAGAAAAGATGATGAATTGGGGGATGGTGGCTTTCATGGAGAGACATGAGTAAAATCAAAGTTATAGTGATAGGAGTTGTCAATGGACTAGACATGAGAAGTGAGGGGAAGGGAGAAATCAAGGATGATCCTGGAAGTTGATGATATTGGAGGTGTGGAAATGACTGGTGTGGGGTCATGTTTGTGCAGTGGAAGAGTAGTACAAATTAAATACTCTGTTTTGAGTAAGTTTGAGGTATCTTTAAGACATCTGAATATTAACTAGGAGTGCATAGTTCTGAACTATGGGTTTAAAGACACATAGTCAGAAATCAGCAGCATATAGGTGATATTTAAAGGTGTAAGAATGAATAATGGCTGCAGAGTAGCCCACAGCATTGAGGCCCTCCATTCTCTGAGATCTGGGAGTAAGGAAACAGTTAGCAAAGGAGATTACTGCTAGGGAGGCAGGATGGAAACCAGGGGAACATATTCTCATGAAAGCCTGTGAAGAAAGCTATAGGTAGAAGGTTTAGGGTCAGCCATGTCAAAAAGCCTAGCATTAATAAGTGTCTATGACAAGCCAGAAACTATTCACATGACAGACTCCATTTCCATCCTTGAATGAGCCCAGTGTTTCATTGCCCTTTCTAAGCTTAACAGCTCCAGTTTAGCTGATTTCATTGAGCGAACACTTTCTGCACAACTAGTCTTGTGTTGAGTAGTGATGCAAGGGCAAAAGGACAGAGGTCGTTGAGATAAAGGGCAGAAGGTCTTGTGATAAGGGATAGCTGGTGAGAAGTTGCGGTTGTCACCATTACCAAACTGCGTGGGTCTGGGGCCCCATTCCCTCTGATTCCACCTTACATGTTTCCTTCCCCTAATAAAAGGTCTCTGATGTCTAACTTTTTAACAAGACAGGGAGTGAGGCAACCAAAGAAGAGATCCCTAGGATTTCTTTCAAGTCAACAGTGAGTCACTTCCCTTATATTTAAAAGGAGAAAGAGTTGACCCCCAAATTTTCAAGACATTTTTATATATTTAAAATTGAAAAAAATTCTTTCAACATAAATAATACATTAGGCCAAAATAAGAAATCAAGCCCGAATAATCCTGATCTTATAAATACTGTTTATTCATTATAAATAGTAGGATCTTCTAATAGGATACACAATTTATGTGATGACTATTTTTCAGTGCTGTCAGAGTGACCTTGTGACCAATTAGATTAATGTCAGAAATCTACCCTTGAGAGTCTTTTGTCTATCCCATGACAAGCCACAGAGGATTTTGGGGTAACCTCTGTGGGGAGCCGTTAATCTTTGGTCACATTGGCTCAAATGCTGGGATTAAAATTTCTGGCTGAGGTTATCCATGGTTTTTCTTCATAGAATCAAAGCCATTTTTAGATCAGTAAGGAATTCTGGATATAATAAAAAAAATTCTCTTACATGTGAAGATATTGAGAGCCACTGACACTAAATTATTTACTTAAAGTCAGAGTGAGACTGTGTTTTAATTCACTGCTTACCACCTCTCCCACCCCAGCTGAGCTTCAGCATACAGCTAGATGCCAGTGTCTGCAAGTTCAGACAACGAGTGAATTTGGGCTGGGCAGCTATACCACCCCTTTGTGTATTTGCCAATTGTTGTTGACCCATGTTTGGGACACTGTGGTTTAATTTTTTTCTCTCTCACTCCAATTCTAAAGAAGATGATCATAGTAACAAATACATATAAACTTTGTTCTAAGTTATTTAACTCATATAGACAAGTTTAGTTATGTGGGGAAGGTACAATTATTATGCTTACTTTGCAGACTAGAAAGCTGAGGTACTTAGCAATCCATTTGTTTGCTAGTAGTTGGACAGCTCGAGTGGCTTGGTTGTAGTATCCATGCTCTTATCCGCTGCTCGGCATTGTCTTCTAAGGGGCTAAATCAAAGTCACATGCAAAAGTTATTGAAGGTTCAGCTTCCTGCCTGAGAAATGATATAGTTCCAACTTCAAATCAATGTTTACAAAAGAGGCAACACAGAGAGGAGGACAGTGGTACCCTGAGAAACGGAGTGGCAGGAAGGATTGAATAGTCATTGAATGAATGCCTTTGTGCAATAGGCATTGTTCTAGGTGCTTTGTGGTTATTATTTCATCAATCTAGTTTGTACGCAAGGAAACTGGGGCCTAGAGGGCTTAAGCATAGTCAAACCAACTCTCTACTTCCTGTTGAGGGTTCTAAGAGGTCTGATAAAACTCAGTGCTTGATGGTACTGCCCTCAGAGCACTGAGCTCAGGGAGGCTCAGGGGTTTCTGCATGTCGGACTAGAAAAGTAAAGCTCATGTTCTCTTTGTGATTTCCTTTCTGTCTATATCCATCTTGTAGGAGCTCTTAAGGGTTCTCCTAGTGAGGAAGGACCTTGGTTGACACCTTAGCCCATTCCTGGGATCAGACTGAAGAAGTGAGCAGTGCTGGATCAAGGATTCCAGCATCATGGCTGGTCAGCACCAGCTGTCAGGAGGCTTATGAAATCTTGCTCAGGAGAATTTCAGGTGGGCCACTAGAAACCACCTACAGAAACATGGCTGTGGTTCTCCTTCAGCCTCTGCTGGGTGCTATGCAGTCTGCCTGTGGGTCTGTGGAGCCTCTTCACATAGGGTGGGATTTACAGAAGGGCTCTGTATCACTGTCCTTGTATCTCATAGCCCTATACTCTAGCTGCCTGTGTCTAGACATTCATCTTTCTAGCCTCTCTTGTGGGACAGGGGATACCCTAACTCAAAGACCTTGGAGAGGTCCCTTTGAGAGATACACTCACAACAAATATTTTTGAGCATCTGATCACATGTGTAAAAATGACCATGTATCTCTTTACAAAGGTATTGATCTATTTGAGGAGGTGAGATATTACACAAAATATAACTGAGATTGTGAAGTACCCTTAACAAAAGCACTGAAGCACTTTAAGACCTAGCATTTAGGAGTAAGTGGGTGTGCTGGATATCTTCCCTTTGTCTCATCAAATCCACTCTCTATCATTCTCCATCCTGGAGGTTGACCTATATGGAAGCATCCATTAACTTCCTGGATAATTTCCAGCTTATGACTGAAAGGTGGATGGAGAATAGAGTGGAATATTCATTCTTTTGGCTTCCTTCCTGCCTGGATGCCATGGGTTCGCTATGCAGGTCACAGGTCTTGTCAAATGGCCTTCCCTATGAAGTTTCACTTGCCAAGTCACAGTCACTGCTTTCAGCTTATGCTCCTTCAAGCCTGTAGGTGGCAAGGGTATAGTGTGTTATACAGGCACTGTATTATGCCTTCTTGTAGTTCCTAAATTCTGTTCCTTTTTTGTCAACAGTCCCTTAATTAAGCACTCATCAAAGTAATCCAGTTTGAGCTGCCTCATTCTTGCCAGGACCTAGACCAAAAAAGTAGGCATCCTACGACAGGAAGATTAGAATGGTTGAATGTAAACTGAGTTGAATATGGGAGACCTAAAGGAAAAGGTAGTTGAGGCCAGATCTTTCAAGGACACTGGTGCCATGTCAGCATGACTAGTCTTTGTTTTTTCTAGTGTACAATGGAAATCACTGACCGTTTTAGAATGAGGAAGTAAAATAATTACAAGACCATCACTTTTGGAGAACTAATTTGCCACAAGAGCATAAAATGTACTCTGTGGCAAAGGACATCCATGAATGAAGGATAAATAGTTAAATGACAAAAAATGCATATACTCTGACTTAGATAATCTATTCCTAGGTATCTCTAACTAAGAAATAATTGCAACTGTGTACAAAGATTTAACTGCTAGGCTATTCACTGAACTGCCATTTCAAAAACATAAAAATTGTGAACAACCCAAGATTCCATTGACAAGGGAGAAGCACCATGCAGCCTTTCAAACTGATGCTGCAGATTAGCCATATTGACTTGGTAAGAAATTAGTATCAGTAAATAAAAATAGAACCACATAAAAAAGAACAATAACTTCAGCGAATGAATGTGCATTTACATGGAGAAAAACTTTAAAGAATTTGCATTGAATTAGTAATAAACACCATTTTTTCTATAATTAGCATGTGTAATTTGTACAAATAAAGAAGCATGTGACTATCAAGAATATAGCTTTGAAGGGCTTTAATTAGCATGGTAACAATAGGAACAGGAAGAATGAATGATTAAAAAAAATGAGAATATGAACATAAACAAGGGGACTTTTTCAGGGAGGGGGGAGTCAGTGGGAGGGTAAAAGAAGAAGGTGAGGGGTGAATATAATCAAAGTGCAGTAGATGCATGATGAAAATAAAATAATGGAACACATTAAAACTATGAAAAAAGGGTAGAGAGGAGAATCTGAAAGAAAATGAATGACAGGTGCATGTAGAATTAAGTAACTCAGCAACTAGATGAAGGACTGAATGACTCAGTCACAATGCCACTGAGAGACAACTGGGAGTCCTGGACTTAGCGCAATGCTTCCTACATCTTGATGAAGTCACATGGTTGTTATCAATGACATGGGTAAAGACAAATGTCCTGGAGACCAGTTTGGCAAGCTAGGCATAGAGCCCAGTTACTGAATGCATACAAACAAGGCAACTGTGACATACACAGATCTACAGTCCCTAAGTCCACAGAAGGTATTAAACCACCACCCATGTGGAATGAAGGCTAAGCCTGGAATTAGATAATAAATCTTGGACTAAAATACTGAATAAGAGTATTCTTTATGTTCTCTCTACTTTAGATACTTAGAATTGACTCTCTTAGGTGTGTTGTCCTCTGAAATTCCTTCATGTCTGAATTCATGCAACTCAAATTCCTTTCTCTGACCTTGACATTGTATCTTTCCACTTCTTTCACTGTGTCTCTGGGCAGCTTCTCCCAACCCAACAGTATCTTTTAGTTCCTCCCAGAAATTTATATATATACATATATATATATGTAAAATCTCTTTCATGGGTATATATGTAACAGTATCAAATACTCTGTTTGCCAAATGTTGTTGCAAGCACTTCACAGGCGCTATCCCTTTTAATCTTCTCTACAACACAATGTTATAGATGTTATCATAATTTTCATTTCACATATTAGGAAACTGGGGGTTAAAAGGCTATGCAGCTTGCCCAAGACTTTGGAGACAGAGCAAGTAGAGCCGGATTCAAGCCCAGGTCGGTTTGACTCTGTCCTCTTAATCACTACATTTATATCTTGAAAATCACCTGGAAGATTTGTACCAGTGTCAAATAATTTCCTAATGAGGTTGAGGTGTGTGTAGGAGGAACCTACACTTTCTGTTTTAGCTTTTGTGTTTTGATTGAATTTCTAGCAATATGAACACATTACATATTAACTATGTAGACAGACTAGAAGAAAATGTCTGTCTTTTAAAGTTTGTATCAATTCCCTCACCTCATTTTCTTTGTTATTGCCAATCTACTTTCCCAGTTTCTAAAACCAGATAATCCTTCTCTCTGTTCTTGTTTATGTACTGGCAGATGCCACTAGGAAAACTGTCATCACATGATCTGACTCAACTAACAAATGAATTCCAGCTGCCTTGGAATTTACAATTGACAAACACACAAGGGAGTGACAAAGCTGCCCACATCCCTGAAAGCCTTTATCGTCTCCCAGATTTTTACCCTCCTCATTCTTTCTCTCATTCAAACTACAGTCATATTTTGTCTTTTTTTCCTTCATAAATGTCATAAAAGTAGCGCTCCCTTATGTGTTTATACCTTATCTGTACTCTGTACTGACTCCCTGCCTTCATCCTGTAGCACACAAGATGTTTGTTTTAAAAGTTACTAGGGAGGCCTGGCAAGGTGACTCCTGCCTGTTATCCCGGCTACTCCAGAGGTGGAGATTGGGAAGACCTCGATTCTAGGAGAGCTCAGGCAAAAGTCAGAGCCTCCCTTCTCAACAAGATAAGCCACGTGTGGTGGCCAACACCTGTCACCCCAGTTATGCAGAAGTCATAGGTAGGAAGTCTGAGGCCTCCAGCCCCTGATCAAAATAAATAAATAAATAAATATAGAGAGAAACCCTATCTGAAAAATAACCTAAAAGTAAAAATGGACTGCTGGTATGTCTCGTGTTAGAGTGCTTGACTAGCAAGAACAAAGCCCCGAGTTAAAACCCCAGTACTGTCAAAAAAAAAAAAATAATAATAATATGATCTCCTAACTGCTAAATCTCAAAGCCCTTTCATTCCTCTCCACCCACCCTATTTAATCAACAGTGCTGATTGTATTTGCAATTTAAAACCCCCTTTCTCTCTTGATTTCTGAGAGCTTCTGTAGCCCAACTGTCATCCTCACTTAGACTAATCGTTCACAATTAGCTGGACTCCTTCCTACCTTCCTGAATGAAGTATTTTAGAGTTCCAGATTCTACCTCTCCTCTTTCTATAAGTTCTTATTGCTAATCCCATGCAATTTTAAATCAAAACTTTCTGTCCAGGTCTCTATACTGAGCTTCAGACTTACATGCTAATTTACCTTTGGGATGATCCCACCCAGAGGTGTACCAGCTGGTGGTGGTGGGGTGGGAAGACATTCCTATTTTTTAGTATAGAGTCTCACACCATGGCTAACTGTAAGCTCACAGTATGCTCTAGTTTGAATATCCCTTCTAAAACTCATGTCAAAATTTAATTGCCATTGTAATAATATTAAGAGGTGAGACCTTTAAGAAGTGATTAGGCCACCTGGGCTATACCCTCATAAATGGACTCATGCCATTATCACCAGGGTAAATTACTGACAAAAAGGATGAATTTGACCTGATTTTGCTTTTTCTGTCTTAATAGGTTCTCTCTTGCCCTTCTGCTATGTTGTAACTTAACTCGAGAGCTCTCATCAGAGGCTAACAACCACACTCTTGGATTTCCCAGTCCGCAGAGCCATGACACAAAAAGTTACATTATTATAAATTTCCCAGTCTGTGATATTCTACTCCAGCGTCAGAAAATTATCTAATACACATGGTAAGTCACTGAACATGGAGTTAGAGATGCCCAGCTGGCTCCCTCAAGCAGGTATACACTGACTCCAACACCACTGCTTTTCCCTGGGAGTCAGAGGCCAAAAGCTTACAAACATTGTTTTTATCACATGGTAGGAAATTACATTTATATTGCTTATATTCATACACATGTAGTGGAAATAAAAGTTTTATGACAGAATATGTATCACTCATGACACACTTTAAAATTTATTATGTTTCATTTCATTGGAAAAAAAACTTGTCTTAACATAGATTCATTTATAAGCTGTTAATGACTCAAAGCCTACAATGTTAAAGGCATCATCCTCAAAAGCTTTCAAATTCAGAAACACAGAATTGTATTTGCTATCTGGCTCTTAAAATCTGTCCATTCTCTGTTTTTCTTTTTTGATTTACAGCTCCATCATCTGTCTGGTTTCCCCAGCTGGGAATCTCGAGCCCTTTCATACTCATTTCCCTTCTTTATCTTTCACATCTATGTCTGCCTTTTGTCTCTCAAGTCTCTTGTTGTTCTCTTGTTGTTCTCCAGTCTCCATTCCCACTCTCTCTATCCTGCTTAGCATCATTGTAGGAGGTGCTTAAACTGCTTTTGCTGAAAATCATGACTCCTTACTTGGGCCCATAAATTAACTAAAAACAGAAGCTTGGCATCCCTGCTGCCATTTTGTGTCTGTCTTTAAGCCATTCTTTTTGCAGTCACTTTATAATCACCTTAGATTCCAGAAAAGACAGAACTAATAACATCTTTAAGACAAGGGACTGAAACTTCTCATAAGGAGCAGCAGAGACTTGTAGGACAGACCACCTCTCCAAATGAGGACAATTACCTATAATAAAGAGGACACAGCCTAGACCAGGAGCAATCATCTCAGGGGAACCAGATTGCTCCCCTAAAGTGATGACAGCACTAACATCTTCTCCAGAACCCCTCTGAACTCTTTGACTAAGACAATGGCCAACCAGAACACACCTGTGACTGGGACTGTTTATGCATACCTTTGTCCCCTGCCCCAGTTCTTTTATCCACTTAAACCATAGCTCACGTCTGTACCCGAAGATGGCTGAAAATGAGCTGAGTGCTTATTCTGCCTCCTCCCATGGCGTGTGTCCCTAGCCATGTAATAAATGTCCTTTCTCTGCCCTCACCATGCTTCTTTATTTGGTGTTTAGGGGCGGGTGGCTGGACCTGGCATATGGAATCTCAGGAGTTTGGGCCTTCAAGCTCCTTCATCATTACCTTTCACTTAAGAGCCTCCTTGCTTTGGTTTCTCTTATCTTTTTTTTTTTTTTAATTTTATTGTTACACTTGGGGTACATGATGACATTTATAATATATCATAGTTGAATTCACCCCCTCAATCATTCTCCTTTGTCACCTCTTCCCCCATTCCTAAAATAGTTTCAACAAGTCTCATTTTTCCATTTTCATACACCTGCACATAATATTCCCACCACATTCACCCTCTTACACCCTTTCCTTAGATCCTTTCCCCTCCTACGGGTACCAATCCCCAGGCAGGAACTGTTTTGCCTTCCTGTTCTCTGTTTTCATAAAAAAAGAAAAAAAATGAGATTTTTGTTTGTTAAGATAGCTATACGTGGTGCTTCAATGTGACATTTCCATGTATGTATGTATTATAACCGGAATTAGTTCATCCTCTGTTTTTCTCCTTTCTGAGTTTCTCTATCTTAATTTGTCATTTTCAGATCTGGTTTTAAGGCCAAAAAAAAAGAGGGCTTGGAGGCGTCTTTGGTGGGGACAATGTACTCTTGTGCGTTAACTTTCTGGGACAATTTGTTTCACAGGGACGTACACCAGGAAATACAAGGAGCTGTCATGAGACTGACAGTATTATTTCATTTTTCATCTATGGTTACTGCTTTAAAAGCTATCACCACTGGACACAGCATATAGAATCACTTTTCCCATGGGCTAGGCTCTGTCCTAAGCCTTTCATGTTTATCTGAGCTTGATTCTTACAGGATACCTCTGGCTTACTTTGATTTTCTCCATTTTTTTAGATGAGGAAAGTAAAAAGCAGAGAGGAGGACAAACTTGCCCAAGGTCACACCACTAATAAATGGGAGAAAAGAGCTACTACCTCCATGTCTTCTTACTTCACAGTCCGCAGAATAAAAATAAAATAAAAGTCCATCTCCAGTTGTGACCTCACCAAAAAATGCTCCCATTATTTAAAAATATATACAACAGTAATAACATCACATATAAATTTGAAGCTACTTTCCCTGAGTTCCTAACTAAAATTTTAAGTGAATATGATTTAAATAGAAAAGCATTGCAGAATGAAGGCAGGAGTTTCAGTTACACTCCAAATAACTCCAGGTTAAACTGAGCTCATATCAAACTCGTATGAAGGAAATTAGGGACAACTACGGTGACAAGCCTTCCAGTGTGGAGCCTTGCCCACCCAACTTCTGAATTGGTATTCAACTTACGATGTAGCAAAAAACGCTCGGGACGCTTCAGATTAGAGATGGGCGCTTTGTAATTTGGTGAACTTTGTTAATTTAGGGAACAAGATTGAACCAGAAAGATTGTCTTGTTGTGGGGTCCATGAAGCAGAGACCAGATTTGATGGAATTGGGTATCAGAATAGGACCCGCGGAGCAAAGCGCCAGCCGGCCGGCCGGGGCTAGGGCCCTGGGGATGCACGCGTGGGCGGGTGGGGCCACCCGCAGGTCCAGGTCGCTGGGCCCCAGCCGGGGGAGGGTTGTTGAATGGTTAGCGTTGCGGCTGCTCGCGGGAGGCCGGCGGTCACTCGCCCCTCCCAGTCCCTCCGCCCGCAGCGCTGGGGGAGGAGAGGGTCGGGGCCATAAGGAGCCGCGACGGACGCGCCCAGCCCACCCCGCAGCTGCCCCGCCGCCCCGTGGCCACGGTGACCGCGACTGGACCGAGACCTGCAGTGCTGGCGGCTAGAAGCACTGGGCTTTTGCGCGCGTGGCTGCGCCCAGGGGCCCCGGTTCCCGCCAGTAGCTCAGCGCAGCGTCCAGGTGAGAAGGGGTCGCGGGACAGGCGCCAGCCCAGGGAAGCGCTGGGCGTGCTCCACTCCGGCGACAGTGTCGTCGCGTCGGTGTTGGAACCCAGGAGCGCGACCGGCTCGGCTGGGCTAGCTGGAACCTCAGCGCCCTCCTAGCCGGTCCTGGCTTCACCGTCCCTGTCGCCCTTGGAAACAGCGAGGGAGGTGACAGTTCCAACCCCTTTTGCAGGGAAACAACCCCGAGAATTCAGTGCTAATTAAAATCAGGCCAGGCAGAAAGGGAACACAGGGTGTTTTCTTATTTACAGATTTCCGGCCAGACACATAGGGCTACACACAGCTCCCTTTGCAGACTCTTGCTTTTTCAGGAGCCAGGTTCTACAAATCTGCTTTTGGAACAGAATTGCGTCAAGCAATGCCGCCCCTACCTGGGGCATTCCCCTTCCAGCCAGGCAAAATTCTGGTTATTCCACTCTGAGCCAAGGCGGGCTTGGATTTTAAAAAGCTAAGGGAAGCTAGGAAACCTAGGATAGATAGTGTTTTCCTCATCACCTCCTGGGGTTTCTAATAGAAGTTTCTATGATCAAACCCGGAAAAGTTTGGACTTTGATTTAGGCTCATGGTTAACACTGGAGCGGTGTGAGAAAGGAAGGAGAGGTGCGTGTGGCTCATTAATGGGAGCTTGTCACCTTTAAAGGGCATGCACGCATATTCAAGTTTGGGAGGGGCGTGTTGCCAAATGAGTCTTGCACACGTTACCTTTGAGCCAAATGAGAATGCTGAACAGAGACTGGTACTTGAGGAAGGGGTGGAAAAATGTATCCCCTAAAGATTTGAGAATCCCAAATCAGTACTAGCACTGAACTCAGGGATTGATCAGTAAGGAGATGGCTTTCTGGCCACCAGGCAATGCACAGCTGCCAGCACTCAGGAGTATTTCCTCATAGAGGTGATTCTGGTGGCCCTGTAGAAAGTGACAGGACAGCCCACCAGTTCAGCATCTTCTAGCATGCCCTATTGAGCACCTTGCACTAAGGTATTGAGGGTTCTTTTCTTCTCCCAGGCAACTGTGCTCAGAAGTTGCTGCTGGCCATGTGGTGACACTCTTTGTTGAACTGGTGTCACAGTCTGCCATACAGTGGCTGCCAGGAGAGCCACTGAGGGTGAAGGTTCAGTATACTGAACCAAGAAGTAGCAGCTGGAGGGACGGCAGTTGACTTCAGCCACTCATTTGGCAGCTGAGAAATCCCTTCTGAGGTTTAAAGTATTTGTCTGGTACTCCAAGACCTTTCCCTCAAACCTGGGCAGCTGGTTACCTACTTCCTCTCCATGATATCTCTGTTCCTTTTGTGCTTGACTCATGAGGAACACACAGGGCCCTAAACACAAACCCTTACCCAGTTCTGATGGCAGGCAGATATGATTTCCTACCCTTTTTTTGGGCTCTCTCAGCATAGAACATTAAGAAAAGGGCCAATGAGGCACCTGAGCAACTGGAGTGGGAGACCCTGGGAAGGTCATCTGTGTTCCTTTTCCTGACACCCAGATGGGTATTTCCCTGGGAGGAAGATGGTCATCTGGTTATTTCTACTCGGATTTATCTTAAGCCTGAGTTTTTAAATTGTTTATTCATTTATTCATATGTGCATACATTGTTTGGGACATCTCTCCCCTCTGCCCCCTCCCTCTCCCTCCCATCCCCCTTGCTTCCAGGCAGAACCTGTTCTGCCCTCTTCTCCAATTTTGTTGAAGAGAAAACATAAGAGATAATAAGATAGACATAGCTTTTTTGCTAGCTTGAGATAAAGAGAGCTATACAGAGAGATTCCTAGCATTGCTTCCATGTGCAAGACTATTACAACCCAAATTGGTTCATCTCTACCTGACCTCTTCACTACTTCTGGGTCACCTTCCCATAGTGGTCTCTGTCAGTTTAAGATTACTGTATTCCCTCCTCTACAGTGGGCACATCAAACACTTTCAAGTTTTAGGTTTCCTTCCTTTTAGGTACTCCTCCTGTACGCGTTCTCCCCCTTAGTGTGTGACCCATGTCCAATAATATTACTGCATTTGTTTTAGGTCTGTAATCCGCATATGAGGGAGAACATACGATTTTTGGTCTTTTGGGCCAGGCTAACCTCGCTCAGGATGATGTTCTCCAGTTCCATCCATTTGCCAGCGAATGATAAGATTTCATTCTTCTTCATGGCTGCATAAGATTCCATTGTGTATAGAGCACATTTTCTTAATCCATTTGTTGGTAGTGGGGCATCTTGGCTGTTTCCATAACTTGGCTATTGTGAATAGCACTGCAATAAACATGGGTGTGCAGGTGCCTCTGGAGTAACCTGTGTCATATTCCTTTGGGAATATCCCTAGAAGTGGGATTGCTGGATCCTATGGCAGCTCTATTTCTAGTTTTTTAAGGCGCCTCCATACTGTTTTCCACAGTGGTTGCACTAGCTTACATTCCCACCAGCAGTGTATGAGGGTTCCTTTTTCCTCCGCATCCTCGCCAACATTTGTTGTTGGTGGTATTCTTGATGGTAACTATTCTAACAGGAGTGAGGTGGGACCTTAGTGTAGTTTTGATTTGCATTTCCTTTATGGCCAGGGATAGTGAATATTTTTTCATGTGTTTTTTGGCCATTTGGATTTCTTCCTTTGAAAAAGTTCTGTTTAGTTCAGTTACCCATTTCTTTATTGGTTCATTGATTTAGGGAGAGTTTAGTTTTTTGAGCTCCCTGTATATTCTGGTTATCAGTCCTTTGTCTGATGTATAGCTGGCAAATATTTTCTCTTACTCTGTGGGTGGTCTCTTCAGTTTAAAGACCATTTCTTTTGTTGTGCAGAAGCTTTTTAATTTTATGTAGTCCCACTTGTCCATCCTTTCTCTTAGTTGCTGGGCTGTTGGAGTTCTATTGAGGAAGTCCTTGCCTATACCTATTGCTTCCAGAATGTTCCCTGATCTTTCCTGTACTAACTTAAGAGTTTCAGGTCTGATATTAAGGTCCTTAATCCACTTTGAGTTGATACTAGTACAGGATGATAGACGTGGATCTCATTTCAGTTTTCTTCAGGCAGATAACCACTTTCCACAGCACCATTTGTTGAAGAGGCTGTCTTTTCTCCATTGTATGTTTTTGGCGCCTTTGTCAAAAATAAGATGGGCATAACTGTGTAAACATATCTGGATCCTCTATTCTGTTGACTTCTCTTTTTAATGATTTGTGATTATGAGCCTAAATTATCCACTGAACCCAGGAGACAGTCAGAAATTCCCATAAAAGTAAAGCACTGATGAAAAAGTGTTAAGTGAAAAGACACTGAAGGGGAAATTTTAGTTCTGAAAGCACATTGTTTCTGAATTCTGAGGAAGCTTTGTGGTTTGAAGGCATGAATACTACCTTTCTCTATGAAACCAGGCACCTGTGGTGTGTCCTCAGGGTCACCTTGCTTAATTTTATGCGAATGACTCAAAACACAGTAATAGAAACAGGCTAGTAAGTACAGACCTGGAGCTTTTGTTTTTAAAGAAACTTAGCAGCTGAGGAGAAGAAAAATGTTCACTGTAAGAATATTCATTGAATTAACTGGGCTAACTGATTTCTAGTAGAAGCTGAGTTTATTCATTCATTCATGTCAAAAGTATTTACTGAGCAACTACTATGTGCCAGAGTCTGAGACAGAGTACATGTGCTCTGCACTCACTATAGACTGCATAGATGCGTGAGCAAGGTGAGTTTATGCTGTGATTAGTGTTTTGAAGAAAACCTGGGCGCTGTGCTGGGGTATATCTTTGTTGGGGACTCTCTCTCTCTCTCTCTGTGTCTGTCTCTGTCTTTCTCTCTCTCTCTCTCTCTCTCTCTCTCTCTCTCTCTCTCTCTCTCTCTCGTGTGTGTGTGTGTGTGTGTGTGTGTGTGTGTGTATGTGCGTGTGTTTTGTACAGGGGGGAGGGACTCAGCTTCTTGGATATGATTTTGAGGAGACTTCTCTGAGAGATGACTTTGAGATGAGACCCCAGGCAGACGACAGATGATTCTGGTAGAGGCAACCCCAAGGCAAAATTGCTGGGAGCATGACAGTGTGTGGGAGGCACAATTGGAAGGCCAGTGTGACTGGGTTAGGCAAGGGAGAAGAAGACTGCAGCAGTAAGGGGGGTGGGGGGTAGAGACAGGAGGAAGAGGCCAGGTCATGCAGAGTCTTGTAGATCAAGGTAAATAAGTTAGATTTTATTCTGAGTACACTGAGAAATCAAACGAGTAGTGGTGTGACATCGCAGACTTTTAAAGAAATTGTTCTGGGTACAGTGTGGAGAATGGATTATACAGAAAGAAGGGGAAGAGACCAGATTCAAGCTTATTGATGGTGTTAGCAGGAGATGATGGGCACAGGCTATTTTTTTTTTTGAGGTAGAGTGTGAGGAGTTCTTTAGCATTTCTCTGTCTCAAATTTCTTTTCTGCAAAACAGGGCTACCTCTGCCCCACTTACTCTGTAAAAACAAATGAGGTAATGAATACACTCTTAAATGCAATGTAAGATGTTACACTACCATTAGTTGCTAAGATTGTGCTACTTTGACCTCCTTATGCTTCCTTTTACAATTTATTCTAATAAATTTCAATATCTTGACCTTTAAATCTGATTTATTATACATGAAAATATCTTTTACCAGGTATGATGGAACGCGTCTTGATCCCAGCAATTGGGATCCTGCCGAGGGCAGGATGATTGTGAGTTCAAGTCCCTGTGTTAAAAGAAAAAAAGAAACCAACAAAAACCACAAAAAGATATTTTGCTCTGTTTAGAGCACTGGAAGCCTTAACCAAGAGTTACCATAACACACACCATCAGAGAACGCAGTGACGTTGAGGCTAAAATAATAGTGAACTTTTTTGTGAAAGTTGAATGTGCTCAAGTAAAATGCAGAAATTGACGATTAAAACTGAGAAGTGAGGCAAAGTACATTTTTTCCCTTTGAATAAATTTGCCTTTGTTCTGGATCTGCCCTG